GCCCACGGGGGTTCGACCTCAGTTGAAAATTCAAAAAGATTTTCCTGCGCGACGACCACGCCAAAATTCCCATCTCCCACAGCAGAACAAAAAAGAAGCTACGACAACAGTTATCTTTCCCGCTCGCTAAGGCCCGATCAACTATCAACCGTCGTGGGACCAGACCAGCCTTCATTCGAAAGAGACAAGAAAAGCAGGGGCATCCATGTAATTTACCAGGCATCCCGACTCAACCAGTTTCATCCCCCGAAATAGCCTTGCTCAGAAAACCGCGTGGCTGCAGAAAACAGTACGTCACACCGTGATTTCCGGCGGGAGGTCTCTGTTTCTTTTTTGGTTTTCCGCCTTTCTCCTGTTTTCTCAGCCCCGAAATTCATGATGAACTTGTCGAGCCGCTGCCACTCAGTGTCACACTCGATCGGCCACACTCCTATCCGACTGCTAATGGGACCATGCCCCAGGTGATGCTCCCCACCAATAGATGGAGCGGTCCTTTTCAAAAAAAAAAAAAGGTTATTAAAAAGAAATAAAAAAATATCAACTTGGCTGGGGCCATGTACGCTATGAAACCGCGCGTTCATTGAACGCGGGTTTTCCGTTCAGAAACTGAACGGAATGCACGCGCGTGCAATGAACGCGACCGAACGCGGAGTTCAATTCCACGGGGGAAAAAAAAAAAAAAACACCTAAAAAAATTCCAAAAAAAAAAAGGTTATGAAGAAAAATAAAATAAACAACATTTGCCTGAGCATTACATCCAAATTTGTTACCAAATTGGAAATAAAAATAGAAAACAGAAAATAGAAAAAAGTAAAAAGCATGGTAACCGCGGACCCGGACACTGGACATTTGCCTGAGAATTGAAATTCGTGAGTGCGCGAGTGCGTTTGTGACACCGCCATCTTTGGCGATTTTTTATTGTTTTTTGGCAGAGCCAAATGCCCTACAAATTTACAGATGTGTACTTCACATTATACAAAACTCATGAGAAAAGTATAAAAAAATAATAATTTTTTTTAGGGTGGCAAAATAAAGTGAAAACAGAAAATAAAAAGTAAAAAAATGAGTGGGCGAACACGATTTGACACCGCCATCTTTGGCGATTTTTTTTTTTTTTTTGCCTTAGCAAAATGACTCCAAAATTAACAGGCATGTACCCCACATCATAGAGAACTCAAAAAAAAAAATCAGAAAAAACAAGGTTTTTTCAGGCATCGAACAAAACAAACTAAAAAAAATAAAAAATAATAAAATAATTGAACGCCGTTCAATTTTGAACGCGAATTTAAATCCGCGTTCAAACGCACATTTGAATGCGAACGCACGTTCACGGCGTTCAAACGGTTACAAAGCATGTACGGGTGGTTTAAGGGCCTCTCCGCACTACTCGCAAAACACGATTTTTCGTGAGGTCGGCGTGGCTGCACTATCTCACCAATGTGTGTCAGAACTTGGCGAGAAGTTGTGCCGATCTGAGTTGGTGAGGGCTCACCAAACCCTCACGAAGTCCATGCCTGCAAATCTTCGTTTTGGTAGGAGCTCATGGCCACCCTCGAGATTGGCGAGGTTGCAACTCGCCGTGAACTCAGTAGTGCGGCGAGGCCCTAAACCATCAATATGTCACCACCTCTTTTTCCCTAGGCTGATTCCCCCATGCGCCAAGTTTTGCTGAACTGGCATGGGCACACGTTTTTTTTCCTTTTTGGCTGTTGTGCATGGCCGTTTTCGCTCGCGAGGTGTGCAACAGAGAAAAATGGCTGGGAAACGTACAGGTGGGCCAGCAACACAACACAGAAAAGTGGGACCTTGCCCCTAGAGTGCATGGACGCCTTCGACAATATTTTTTTTGTTTTGTTTTGTTTACATGAATTGAGACCATGACCCCAAGATACTCTACCACCAGTTTGTTTCCCAGCTATTTTGTTCGGACTCTGCGTTTGAATCAGCAGTACGTCAGAGCCTGCAGATTCCCCCTGCACCCGAAAGAAAGGAACTGCCAGCGACACATTTCTTTTATTTTGCCTGGCGCTGCCAACCATTTTAGTCCCCGTTGCTCATCCAAAGAAACTGCTATGTTACATTTCGAATCTTGAATTTGGGCCTCGTTCGACACCACTTGAAAATACTTGTGTGTGAAGGGCGCCCTTGGGCGGGGGAGGTGATTAATTTCCCCTAACTCGTTTTTTCGTTCCACAACTCCTTGGGAAAACACTTGGAAATCGCGCACTTCCGTGTCAAGTGCTGACGTCGCGACTTTCGGACCCCTCAGACGCGGCTCGGAATGTCCGGCCAGCAGCAGTGCTGGACGAAATGTAGTCCGGCCGGTTTGGGCCCATGGGACAAGTTCGGTTTGGATTTCAGCTCGACGGCGAAGGCCACCCGTTCCTCTTTCCTGTCCCCAGGACGCCCGTCCGAATGCCTTTCCGACTCCGCTCCATTTGAAATTCAAAATCGGTCTCATGCTCTGCGGCCGTCGCCAGCGCGAAACAGAAAAATGAGCGTGCCCCATATCCTACATAACTACTGCGGTCATGGTGTGCAAGCCCTTGTGGAGTAAGCGAAGCTAGGACGACCATGGTTGTGAGCGACGACAACCGCAACACGTGGCGCACGGGAGCGGAGACACGTCAGTCGGTGTTTGTCAACAATGGAGCACACGGGGGCGGAGGGACGGGAGGGAAGGGAACTGACAGTCCGGGAGGAGAGCTTGTTGGTGGCATCATTGGTTGCGGTGTGCCGCCATCTTCAGACGATGAACAGTGTGCGGCAGGGTTTTGCCAGACAGAAGGCGACGAGGGAGGCGGCCATCGGGCAGGCGCTGTTGGACGTGCATTCCTCACTGGGTGTTTGGGACGCGCCATTCCTCCTCACCAATGCCATCATCGCAGGGGTGCTTCCGAGAGAGACTTCGCGATGGTGGGTGAAGCGCAGGACATGCGGCACATGGAAGGACCTCGTCATCGCAGACGATGCGACAACGGACTATTATCATGACAAACTGCGCATGTCTAGGACCGTCTTCAATGACATCGTCGCCGCCTGCGCTCCTTTCCTTCAACGTCAGCTAACCCACTATCGCGAGCCGCTCTAGCCGGACCGCATAGTCACGTACGCGCTGTATAGGTGGGCGACGTGTGAGACTTTCGAGAACTGCACGTCAGCGTTCGACACTGGAAGGGCGACCGGCATCAACGCGGTGAGGGACGTGACAAGCGCCATCTTGGCAGCCTACCCGGACAAGATCGCCGTGCCGACAGGCAGACGTCTTCTCCAAATTGTGTTCACTTTCGCGGGAAAGGGCTTCCCCAATTGCATGGGTGCCATCGATTGCACCCACATTTATGTCGACAAACCTGCAAACGTGCCATCCGAGAACTACTTCGATCACAAACAACAATTCTCCGTGGTGGCGCAGGTTGTCGTGGACTTGGATATGCGAGTGTGGACGTCTTCGCCGGTTACCCCGGGAGCATCCACGATGCGCGCGTTCTGCGGGTCTCTCTTCAAACGCGCCGAAGCAGGGGACATTTTCAACGCTGACGTAGTCGCCCTACCAGGTGGTTCACGACTACAGGTTACCTGCTCGGGGACAACGGTTACGCTCCGCGTACGTGGATTGTAGTTCCTTACGGGGGCTTCAACCAGACCGGGGACGTCGCCCTCTTCGACACAAGGCAAAAGACGACGGGAGGGGTGGTGGAGAGGGCGTTTGGAAGGCTTAAGGGTACGTGGAGGTTATTCCTTCGTCACCACAAGACAAACATGGATAACCTCCCTCAACAGTTTATGGTCGTGTGCATCGTGCACAATCTTCTCCTCGAGGCTGGCATTGACATGGACGAGGGGTTGTTGATGGAACCCGACTTGAACGGGAATCCGGTTCCGATTGACCTGATCCATCCAGTGTCCCAGGCCGACGCTACCGAGGCCGCTCTCGCTCTCCGTGACGCACTCCGCCTTCGCATGGAATAGTGAGGGCGTCCTTCGTATTTCACAACTTGCGTTTCATGGCGGACGCACTTTGATGTATGAGGCGCGAAACGCGGTTAGGGTTGTCCAGGTTGTGCCGCCTGCCAGTCAATCCTTCGCCATTTGGAGAAGTAGTCAATGCCGGCGGGCTATTAGGAATCTCTCTTCTTCTTCCTTTGTTTGACACACTTTTGCTTAGGATTCATTGCACATTCAGCAGAAGAACTGATTGGCTGGCGAGGCCGAACTTTTTTTGTGTACCATTTTTCGTGCGAAGTTATTTATTTGCGAAATGTGTGATTCTGTTGTTTTTTTATGACTTCCATTTCCATTACATGTAACGTTTGTCAATGTCGATGCAAACAACCCCTGAACTCTTTCTCTCTCTCTCTCTCTCACACACACACACACAC